AAAGTAAATGTTTAGAAAATGAAGATGGCAACATATGTACAAATCTGCTTGATACAATTGATATTTGGATTGTTATCAGAGCTGTAAGAGCCCCCCATAAAATGATCTTTAATAAAAAGAAGTACCTGTTTATTAAAACACATGTTGTGGGGCCCCACCTCCCGAATTCTGATCACTAGGCCTGGGAGGGACCGAGAATTTGCATGTCTAATTTGTCCCAAAGGAGCCCCGGTGGCACAACTGTTCATCGCTTGGCTCCTAACCCAAAGGTCAGCAGTTCGAAACTACCAGCTGTCCTTCAGTCTTTCCATTCCTATAAAGATTTCCAGTCTTGGAAACCCACAGGGGCAGTCCCACCTTGTGCTGTAGCGTCACGACGAGTCAGAATCGACTCGATGGCAGTTAGTGTTGACGGAAAACCATTTCCTAAGAAGCCTAGTTGAGCACTTGGCTGTTCTCCAGGGCAGGAGAACCCGGAACATCAACACCTGTAAAGATTACAGCTTGGAGAACCATATAGAGCAGCTGTGGTCTGTCCCATAGCGTCACTATGAGTTGATTCCAGGGGCAGAGCACACCTATTCCAAGGTGACATGCGGATCCATGGACCACGCTTTGAGAACCATTGGCGCGTATATGTAAAATGGAACCATTCTGTCATTTATTTTACCATGTATATCATGTTCTGGTTTTGTTGTTGTTGAATAATACGCTTAGATTGGGACTATCAGTTCTCATTCCCAGCGTCCCCACCTCCTGGGATGTGAGTTCTAGGGAAGCAGGGTTACTTCTTCACCTTTCCATCTCCTCCTCCAGAATAACGGAGTGGCCCTGGTAATCCATGGAGTCCGAGCCTGTGCTATTTAACCGAGTGCAAAGGACGTTGCAGATGGGATTCAGTTAAGGAGCTTGAGATGGGAATATTGTGGTGGAGTTTCTTGGTGAACCTGACATAATCACAGGGTTTTTGTAAGTGGGAGGGGGAATCAGAGAAAGATGGGAGTGGAGGTTGGACTGATGAGACTGCTGACTTTGAACATGGATGGGACCAAGGCATGTCAGCAACCTCTTAGAAGCTGGAAAAGGCAGAAAATTGATTGTCCTTTAGAGCTTCCAGAAGGAACACAGCCTTTGATTTTAGTCTCCTAAGACCAATCCCAGGCTTGATTTCCAGAAATAAAAGATAGGGAATTTGTTACAGCTGCCTTAGGAAGCAATTACCCAAGCCAAACCCACTGCCAACAAGCTCATTGCATTTCAACTGACAGCGTCCCTCTATAGGATTTCCGAGACTGTGTATCGTTGGGGTGGGGGTGGGGCAGACAGCCTCATCTTTATCTGGGGAACAGCTGGTGGGTTCGAACCGCTGACTGTGAGTTTAGCAGAGCAATGCCTAGCGGGCAAGTACTTTCTGAAAAGATGTGACAGGAGAAGTTCTTGTGGAGACTCGAAAGTCCTCTCGGCGTCTGCTTCCCTTGACCTCTAGCTTGCGTGAGCATGCCCCTTCAGTTCGAGCAGAGCCTAGCACTCTGCTTTTATAGAACTTAGTTACTACGTCCATTTCGGATTCTCCATAGGAGCCCTTGTAGTAGAGTGGTTATACATTGTGCTGCAGTCCGCTTGGACAGCAGTTCAAAACCACCAGCAGTGAAAGACGGCCTCTCTACAGTTACGGTCTCAGAAATCCACAGGTTGGTCACTAAGAATCAACATTGACTCGATGGCAGCGCTTTTATTTTTTAAAATGGGTCCTCTTGCACCCCTCCAGCCACTCGCTGGCTCCCCAGCACCCTCTCCTCTGCTTGGTTCTGTGTCAAACGTATTGGATCTTTTTCGACCACGCATTAGTCCCTCCTTAGCGTTTGGTCCCATTGTTTGCGGCTTTACATCCACATCACTCCTGATTTTTATCCCAACGTTGTCTCCTCTGAACTCCCTGGGGTCTAAGAAGCCCACAGTTGGCTTGAGCTGCAAACGCCAACCGCTAGGAGAATTGCTTGTTATCTTCCGCACTGACGGTGCGAACCCAAGGCCCATTTCCTGTCCTCGCATTAGCAGTTCAGCCCACGGCGCTGGGTTTCCGAGATCAGCGACAGCGGGCTCCTCTGGCTGGCGTCGTCTCGGCTCGCGTTAGTTGGTTTTCAGTTCCATTTTTGGTCTGGCATCTGGGGATTCCCCTTATGTTCTTGCAAAGGCAGTTATTCATTTGAGAGCGTATTTGTTAGCGTTTACCCAGAATTTCCACATGGTTTTTTGTGGTGGCAGGGGATGGGGGAGGGCGTTTCCTGTTACCTAATCAGCTGACTTTTCTGGAAACTGAACTTTTCAAATAATAATGCCTCAGTCTCATCATTTTGAATATTCGTATTTTCTGTTCTTTTGCACGCCCCTTGAGCGAGTTGCTCCCACTTCCTGTGTCTTTCATCCCCTTCGCTTGGCAACTTCTCAGGAGCCAGCTCACTCACCTTACAGTTTCAATTCTCCCCAATAGAAATTGGGCAGCTCCACCTGGCCCCTGGTTGGCCAGATAGTTCTTGTGCCCAGCCACCTCATCAGTCACTGGCCAGCCCAGGCATTGGCTGTCTGAGGATGAATGCGCACGGCTGTGACCCAGGCAACTGGGGGGTAAACCAAAAACGGCCAATCACAAGTCACCAAAGAGCGTGACTTCTGCCCTTCCTTTGGAGGAGCCTAGAGGTGGGTTGCCTCATGATTAGTGTTACAGTGACTTATCCTTAGCAGGCTCTGAAATGTAGCTGATTGATACTAGCCAGAAGGTTTTCTATTTTTTTAAATTTTTTAAAGATAGAATCTTAACTTGGCTTATACATTTACCCCTGGCATAGATATTGTTTTCATGCCCTGACACATCCACTCCTCTGATGTTCTTACACTATAATTACTAAATAATTGGAAGAGTGGGTATCCTGTTAAATAAGCTCACTGTCATCACGTTAAAATCCAACTTCATGAAAATGGGGGAAAAAAGAAAAAGAAGCTGTTTAATACCAGAGTGAGGGTCAGCCTATCTTTATAAAAGCCCTGAGACACCCTAAAATCATCCCGCCAATAAACCACGAGGAAACTTCTCCACACCCACCAAGGTACAAAGATCTCTCAGACTCTGCCTCTAGCCCGAAACAGAGACAGAAACAGAGAAAGGAAGACAGGGACAAGGCAGGGTGTGTTGTATGTCCTTAACTGCGCTTAGAAGTCTATCTGTTTATTTGTAAACATGAAAGAACACCTCCAGCGTCAGCAACAGTGCTTGTCTCCGCGGGAAGAACTGGGAGTTGACCTGGCATCCATTTTTGTTAGAAACTTAAGGAGGAGAAAGGAAGGAAAGAAGGAAAAGAAGAGGGAGAGAAGCTAGTGACAAACCACAACCAAGGTGGAGAGATTGTGTGGAAGCTAGTCCTTGAACGTCGTTCTTTCAAGAACAGAAGGGCCGAGGATTAAACTGGTTCCTCAAAGCTAACCAGTTGCCGTTCATGAGACGTCAACTCCTGTAAGACAGAGTAGAACATAGTCCCTGAGTCTGTCCTGTTTGACTCCATAGGGTTGTTGATGGCTGCTTTTTTTTTTCCCTTTTCACTTCTGCAACATACATCCCTGCTTTCTTTCCTTCTTTTTTTCAAACTGATACTGAAGTAGTTCGTTTATTGTGCCAACCTGGCCGATAAACACATGTGGGGAAAATTGAAGGGCGGAGGAATAAATGGCTCGGTGACCCTTGCCTTTCTATTTCTTGGGTCTCTTGCTTTGTGATGGTCAGACCAGGGTGCAGCTGCCTCAGCCAGTTCCCTGCTTCAGCTGGCAAGGCTCACTCCCTGCAAGATTCCCCAAGGAGAAGCTGCATGGACCTACCCCAGTGCAGCCCTGGGTGCTGGAGCAGCCGTGTGGAG